TGCAATGGAGGAAAGATAGCATCTTCAATAAATGGTGCTGGGAAAACTGGAAATCCATATGCAACAAAATGAAGCTGAACCCCTTTCTCTCGCCATGCACAAAAGTTAACTCAAAATGGATCAAAGAGCTTGATATCAAATCAGAGACTCTGCGCCTGATAGAAGAAAAAGTTGGCTCCGATCTACATATTGTGGGGTCGGGCTCCAAATTCCTTAATAGGACGCCCATAGCCCAAGAGTTAATAACAAGAATAAACAAATGGGACCTACTTAAACTAAAAAGTTTTTTCTCAGCAAGAGAAACAATAAGAGAGGTAAATAGGGAGCCTACATCCTGGGAAAAAATTTTTACCCCTCACACTTCAGATAGAGCCCTAATATCCTTTGTATATATACAAAGAACTCAAAAAATTAAACAATAAGATAACAAATAACCCAATCAACAAATGGGCCAAGGACCTGAACAGACACTTCTCAGAGGAGGACATACAATCAATTAACAAGTACATGAAAAAATGCTCACCATCTCTAGCAGTCAGAGAAATGCAAATCAAAACCACCCTAAGATACCATCTCACTCCAGTAAGATTGGCAGCCATTATGAAGTCAAACAACAATAAGTGCTGGCGAGGATGTGGGGAAAAGGGTACACTTGTACATTGCTGGTGGGACTGCAAATTGGTGCGGCCAATTTGGAAAGCAGTATGGAGATTCCTGGGAAAGCTGGGAATGGAACCACCATTTGACCCAGCTATCGCCCTTCTCGGACTATTCCCTGAGGACCTTAAAAGAGCGTACTATAGGGATACTGCCACATCAATGATCATAGCAGCACAATTCACAATAGCTAGACTGTGGAACCATCCTAGATGCCCTTCAATAGATGAATGGATAAAAAAATGTGGCATTTATACACAATGGAGTATTACGCAGCACTAAAAAATGACAAAATCATGGAATTTGCAGGGAAATGGATGGCATTAGAGCAGATTATGCTAAGTGAAGCTAGCCAATCCTTAAAAAACAAATGCCAAATGTCTTCTTTGATATAAGGAGAGCAACTAAGAACAGAGCAGGGAGGAAGAGCATGAGGAAAAGATTAACATTAAACAGAGACGAGTGGGGGGAGGGAAAGGGAGAGAGAAGGGAAATCGTATGGAAATGGAAGGAGACCCTCAATGTTACACAAAATTACATATAAGAGGTTGTGAGGGGAAATGGGGGGGGGGAACAAGGGAGAGAATTGAACAACAGCAGATGAGGTAGAGAGGGAAGATGGGAGGGGAGGGGAGGGGGGATAGTAGGGGATAGGAAAGGTAGCAGAATACAACAGTCACTAATATGGCATTATGTAAAAATGTGAATGTGTAACTGATGTGATTCTGCAATTTGTATGTGGGGTAAAAATGGGAGTTCATAACCCACTTGAATCAAATGTATGAAAGATGATATGTCATGAGTTTTGTAATGTTTTGAACAACCAATAAAAAAAATTCACAAAAGATAGCTGCTGTTAATATGACCATTTTTCATGTAAAGAAAAGAAGCCTCACAGGGGTTAAGCTGCCTGCTCTCATGCTGGTCAAGCTGGGATTTAAATTGGTACTTGCCTGCATTCGACAACCATACTTCTTATATGAAGCCACACTGCCACAACGTCCTAGAACCCTCGTATCACCGAAGCCATTCTGATATCTAATACTAGGTATAGTATCCACTGCTCATTGTGTCCACCTCACTGAAGTAGCTCAACATCAAGTGCTCTCATCTCTTCTGATTCGTCAAGGTGCTGGAGGACACCCTCTCACACTCACTTAGTGGATGGGGTGCACATGAAGTAGAATCGGAAGGGACACAGATGGGAACACGAGGTTTTCTGCCTTCTGCAGGTCAGTGAGTTCCCTGCAGACTTAGTGTTACAACCTGGCTGAGAACCAGCAGTCACATGGAGAGTAACTGAGAAAACAGCTCTTCAAGAAAAGTTGTGCAAACCAGAGAGAAGAGAACTCGAGTTATTAAGGTCACACACAACAGAGCTTGTTCCTGAATTTGCCAAATATGGGACCCTGAGTCAGAGCGTAGCCTCAGTTGACCTTAGTGTCCTCATCTATAACATGCACACAATGACTCCTGTGTCAGAGGTCAGGGTCACAGCTCTGCTAGCCAGGGCCTTTGTGCAAATGTGAAAGTGGCTTCTCTTCTGGGCTGGTGAATTAGAAAAAGTGCTCCCTCTGTCTGGGGGTACACCCGTGGGGGTTGGCAAGGAAAGATGGCATGCTTTTCCAAGGAAATAAGTACCTTCCTCTGTGGAAAGTTGCCAGAAGCACAGAGTCCAGGCTGATGTTCAGACCCCTTAGCCCTGCTGCTGGCCCCACACAACGGTGTAGGGCATCTCACCTGGGCAGTGTGTGGACAAGGTAAGATAATGTCCCGAAGGCTGCTGAATGTGTGGACTATATGTGAGACAGCTGGGGAGGAATGAAGGTGAGGGAGAAGGAAAGAAAACCGGAGTGATGGAGGAAAGGAGTGGGGCAGGGAAGGAGGGAAAGAGAAGGAGGAAGCAGGTATGTTCAGTCATGGGGTCATGCCACATGAAGGGAAAGAGCATCCTGAAAAAATCTGCTGGATTTTATATGTATTTTTCTGGGGAAAGGGTTTATAGTTTTCTGTTAAAAAAATGACAGAAGACAAAAACACATGTCCTTATATATGTAAGTCTGTTATAGAGAATTGAGAACACACTTGAGCCTCAGAGACCTCTGTCCCCCACATAAGAGCTGCCACACTTCTCCAGCACTACGCTGAACCTCTCTGGCGTCCTCCCCATCCAAAACGAGGCTCTCAGCAGCCCCGAGGTGTCCATGACCATCACTACCTGTAGACTCGCATGTCCCTCAGAGACCCAATCCTTTGTGGGTAGGAGAAAGCCGCGCATAGTTCAACAGGCCTGTATGAATGGATGAACTGTTTCCTGGTCCCTGTTTCCCTTCCTCTTTCAAGTCAGAACTTCTATTAGTTTTTTTTTTTTTTTTTACCCCCTCTAGGTTTAGTTCTGGCTTTTTATGTTTGTTTCTCTCTTCTTCTGAAGCTACCTAGCTTCTAAATTGCACATTTTGTGACCTCAGTAAGGGCTCCCTTGTCCTGAGGAGTGGCACCTATCTGAGACCATCTGGATTTATAAAAACACACGCTGTTGCTGGGAGCAAGATGGGCTCAGGCCTTTGGTGAGCAAGCATACCCCACAGCCTGGGGGGATGTGGTGCTTCTAGAGTAGCACAGCAGGTTCTCAGACAGCCCTGGACCTAGTCCATCTTCTTAGATGTCGCCAAGTCTCAGTGTGTCCAAAGTATTTCCTGAGTCCAGCTTCTTCTCTTGGAGGGACCATCTCTCCTCTAACTTCTTAAGGACAGCTCTATTAAGAGATCCTACTGGTGCGTCAAATCAAAGCTTAACTGACTCAGCTGAGAAATAGGGTGGATTTACTGAAGGAAGGAAAAGTGAAGAGAAGAAAGTCAGGTTCGTGCGAGAACCTTGAAGAATGTCTGTGATTGTTCCTCTTATTCAGTCAAAGGGCAGTAGATGCAAAGTCATCTCTAGAAGGACCAAAGCCAAGTCACTTTGGCCTGTGAACTACAAAGGCCTCATGCTACTCTGCCCATGGCTGCACTGGTGAGAAGAGTTCTGAGACAAGAAACCTGATTACCTGGGGCTAGGGCTGGGGCTCAATGGCAGAGTACTTGCCTAGCATGTGTGAGGCCCTAGGTTTGATCCTCAGCACTGCGTGAAAATAAATAAATAAAATATAGGTATTGTGTCCATTTACATCTAAAAAGAAAAGAAATGAAACCTAATTACCTAATTATAAGCTGCCTGCTACCCACTTCCCTGGCCCTATCCCCAGATGCTTCCTCAGAAAATATCTGCCATTTTAAAGAAGAATTAAAAAATTATAAGTCTTCTAAATTATACCCATAAATAGAATAAAATGAAGATAAAAGATAAAAATGATAGGAACAATGAAAAACAAATGGCTTATCATGTACTTTCTGCTACAGAGAATAATATAAAACAAAAATTCCTGCCCTTATAGAATTTGGGTTCTTCTGGAATATAATAATTATTAATAAATGTGAATGGGATAAACTCTTAACATTAAAGATTCCCAGATTTAAAAAAAAAAGATTCCCAGATTTTAAAACCACCACAACTAACAGCAACAAAAAGCCTTTGCAGATATGCATTTGAAACAAAAAGATTCAGAAAGAATGAATGAAGACACACAAGGTAAAACAAGGAAGGAAGAAAGCAGAGTTTTAATAATCTAAAGCAAATTAACTGGACAAAAATATCTTGAAAGGCTGGACCAATATGCTTCTCAGTATCATCAGTATCACTAAGGAGGTACATTTGCTTGTGGTATGCTCTCAAAAAAAAAAAAAATGGTGACAGATAAGGAGGGAAGAAAGGTGGGCAGAGATGTGACATGAAGCTCTTGCCCAGTATGCTGAGGCCCTGGGTCCAGTACCAGCACTTCAGAAACCAAGACAAATAATGTGATAAAAAGATATTTTTTTTCTGTTGAAAATGGTAGAATTTACCAACCGTTGGCCCAGGTGAAATTTAGTGGAATGTGATTTTTTTTTTCTTTTAATCTGACACCAAATGAGACTTGAATTCCATCCCTACTTTTACTAAACTATGAGGCCTTTAACCACGTCATTAACTGACTTGGGATTCAGTGTAATCACTTGTAAAATGAGACAGTGAACCAACTTGAATCTAATGTATGAAATATGATATGTCAAGAGCTTTATAATGTTTTGAATAACCAATAAAAAAAATAAATTAAAAAAAAAAATGAGATAGTGAAATGCAATGACCTTGCAGAAAAATGTGTCTTTAGTCTTGTGACTTCACTGTTACAAATATGTAGGATAATGGTGTTTCAAATATATATGGACACTGATTTAAAGATAAAAGAGCTTTGTAAGAAACTGCACCTTTCATTTTTCAGCATTGTGACCTCTTGTCTTGTCTGATTCAGAAGAACTTTGGTTATCTCTAGCTCACTTTCTGAGAGGTTAATTATTCTCTTTGAGTCTTCTTCTTGCCTTTCTTTTGCAGTCAGCTCTTCCTGTAAAGCTTTATAAATTTGTTGACAAGTCATTAAAGAGTCTTCTTTTTCTTTAAGCAGCCTAGTGTGCCTAAAAAGGAACCGAAAAAATTAAAAAAATCTCACCAGCATGTATTAGATAGTGTTTTGTTTTTCTTTATCATAACATTTTTCTTTTCTTTTCTTTATTTTTATGTGGTGCTGAGGGTCAAACCCCATGCCTCATACTTGCTAGGCAAGCACTTTACTACTGAGCCATAACCCTAGCTCCATAGATAGTATGTTTTTATATTTATCAAAGGTATATGAAAAGCTCATTTGAAATTAGAGACTGTAACTGTAACCTTAAAAAGTAAAGATATTTAGAACATGATAGCTTTGTGATCTTGAGCTTTCCCCTCTATGTAGAGGCAAAATCAAGGAACAATCATAGGACACGATAACACTGGGTTAGGTATTACACATGTAAACAACTAAAAAGAAAAGATAAGTCCATTTTAAATAATGTTTTCAAATTTAATTATAAAATATCAATTAAAAGTTTGCAGTGTATACCGTGATTCAGAAATAATGGATTCAAACTTCAGTTTCCTTAGTTCTCTTTGACATTCATCAGCTTCATTAGATTTATTCCTAAAGTAATAAAATATTTTAAATTAGTTAAAATGTAGTATGTTACAAATAAAGTGTAAGCATTTTTCGCTATCATTATTTTTACTCATCCACAAAAAGAATTTAAGATCTTTATATTATTATGTCTTTAAAGAAATAAGCATTTAATCCACTTTTCTAATGGCTAAATTAGCTTCTATCAGACAAGTCTATATTTCAATAAAAATAATCAACTCTGGACAAAACTAATCAAAACAGAATCTGAACAAAGAACCCCTAGGTAAAGGGACTGGAAAGGACTGGTTCTATTAAGAACAGACGCTGGAGGAGTGCTGGCACTGGGATGAGGGGACAGTATAGGCTCAGGCTGTGTCCCAGGGCAGGGCCCAGGATGCACCAGGCAGAATTAAAACCCTGGTAGAAAACGCCAGTCTTTCTGGCCTCAAGAACCAGAGCACAGTGTTTGAAGTAACCACAGCTGCTGGAAAATGAAGGGGGCTCCAGAGAGGGAGAATTTACTATATGTAAATTCTGCTGAGCTCTGCACAGGGCAGATTCCAAGCAGCCCAGTTAAAACAGCTGACATGAGATGGGGCTGCTGCCCAGAGACAGAGCTGTAGTTTGAAACCAAGGGAACAGGCTACTAAAAGCACCACCCCACCACTAACCATTTTTGGGGGGAGGAATATAACAGAATCCAGAATCACTATAATATTCACAATGTCCAGACTATAGTAAAAAAATTACTTAACATATAAAGAAAGAGAAAAGTGTGACTCATTCTCAAGAGAAAAATAGTTAATAGATACTGACTCTGTGATGACTCAGATATTGAAATTAACAAAGACTTTAAAGGAGCAATTTTAACTCTGCTCAAAGACATAAAGGAAAATCTGTAATTAATGAAAAGATGAGAAATTTCAGCAGAGAAATAAAAACTATTAAAAAGAACAAAATGGAAATTTTAAATCTTAAATAAACACTTGTTTTTAACTTATATGATTGGGTTTTATAGCAACAATCAAAACATTAAGAAAGACTAGCATTTCAGTTTAAATTTATTTAGACTACTCATTAACTATGCTGAATCATTTTCTAAATTTTCAAAATAGCTAATAAACTGTGTCATAAAATCTATTAGATTATAAATGGGTCTGCCCTACTTGAAATATGATTTTAATTTCTAGAAAATTATATAAAAATCATCATGAACATACATAGCATTCATTTGTTTTTAAACTTTTTATTATAAAATACATTAAGCTGTAAGAAAATTGCATAAAACAAATATATAATATGGTGAATTATTATAAGGAGACACTTTGGTATCTGTTATCCAAGCCAAAAAATAAAACCTTACCTATTACTCTAGCAGCGCTTCATGATAATGGGCCCAATCATAGGCAGCCACCTCTTCCCTAAAAGTAACCATTCTCATGAACTTTGTGGTAATTACTCTGATTGGTTTTGATGTTTTATGCCCCCAAAACTATATTTTAATTTTTCTCTTATTTTAATGCCTTAAAATATTCTATTTTCTCCACTGCACCCTTTTTGTAAGATGGTTCTATTAAGGTGTTGCTTTTACATAAAACAAACTGCATATCTTTAAAACATACAATTTGATAGGAATGATGTGTGTATACACTCAGGACACCATCACCCCAGGTAGCACAGGAACACACTCAAGAGCCAGGACTACTCAGTGAAATGGAAGATTGTAGGGGTGGGACAGGGAAGGTACATTCAAACATCTTGTTATGCCAGAAAGTAAAAAAATACTTTAAAAAGATATGGGACCAGAGAAACTAGCTTGAAGAAATTCCCACTAGCTATTCCTAGGATAATCTCAGTACCAAAGCCACACAGCAAGGAACTGAATTATCAACCATTAAAAACAGGATTGCTAGAGATGATGAACGTTTTTTCATATATTGTTGATTGATTGTATATCCTCTTCTGAGAAGTGTCTGTTCAGGTCCTTGGCCCATTTGTTGATTAGGTTAACATACTTTATATACAACCAGAGATATGAAAAGTTGTGCTGGATACATATAATAAGAATTGTAATGCATTCCGCTGGTTTTGTTCTTTTTTAGAGAGAGAGAGAATTTCATATATATATATATATATTTTTTTTTTTTTTGGTTTTTGGCGGACACAACATCTTTATTTGTATGTGGTGCTGAGGATCAAACCCAGGCCGCATACATGCCAGGTGAGCGCGCTACCGCTTGAGCCACATCACCAGCCCTCGTTTTTTTTTTTTTTTTAATAAAAAATAAAAAAAAAAAACAGGATTTCACAAGTCTACAAAACAAGTGGACACATGACTGGAAGAAGGAGGCACCTGCTTAGAGCAGAATACTGAGAGCTAACACGAGGCAGATGGTTAGAAACTGGAAAATCACCATTCAGCAACCACTGGCTATAGTAAGGACTGATCAGGCAAAAAGCATTAATGGATCTTATATCTAGAAATAAATTTTGATGAATAGAGTGTTTTCATGCATTTAAAATGTTTCTTCTAGAATTGTTATTCATTGAAGGGGAAGAACAATCTTCTCCCACATCATTAATTACATACTAGAAAAACTGAGTGATACTTGGACCAGAAGACCTAAATTACCAGTAGGGAAGATGATTATCAGGCCTTCAGATGTGATGCACTGAGAAAGACACATCACCATTGTTGGGGCTCAGAAAATAATACCACCAAAAAATGGCACCCCTGTATGCTGGTTATTTTAAATTCAAGACCCTTGGAGAGCAGCAGGTGCTGGAAGAGGCTTTATTCTGAGGTGGCCTTTTCCACTTAAAGACTGGAACTGCCAAAGAAGAAAAGAATCACCTCTGGTCCCTTCCTTGAGTTTTCACTAACTAAATGTGCATCTTCAGGAAGGAAACCATACCTGGACAGATTCTGTCACAAGCTATTTCCCATTTCCCAGACCCATTCAATTTCCCCCAAAATCTTGTTCTATACTGTCTGAGCACTGGATCCATTCATTCACCTAAAATCACTGATGACCCCTCAAACTTCCTCACCCCAAGTCCTCTCCCCTGTAGGAAGGGCATATATGCACCTGACTGCACTGGGTTGGGGGTAATCACACTCCTGTCCCCATGCATGTTAGTGACTCCTCTGGGGTCAGTTCACTCCAGTGAAGAACCAGATGGCTAAGGAGCCAAAACCACCTATTTGGTTTTCTGGTTGAGAAACACAGGATCCAATCACGGGAAACAGACCAATAAAAAAATGAGGAAAACTTTTATTTTAAAAAAGCATGAGGAGTTCTGCATTCTTCAAAAATGTCAAGGTCATAAAAAGACAAAGACAGTCTGTGGAAAGACAGTTTGATAAAGAAGGTTGAAGAGAGATACAAGCAGACTGACCCTACACTGGATCCTGCACTAAAGGAGAAAATGCTACAGAGGACATCATTGGGTCAACTGATGAAACTGAAATATTTTTGGCAGATTAAAGAACTACATGTTGATTTATGACACTGAAGACTCCATGGTGGTTACGTAAAATTCCACTGTCCTGAGGAAAGGCAGGATGAAATGTGCAGAGGTAAGGGCCATGTTGTGTGGGATGTATCTTCAAACAGCTCGGGAAGAAAATATGCATATATTATAAAATACAAGACAAGAAGTCAAAGGCCATGTTCACTGAGTCACAAAGGAAAGAAGCCATAAATGTGAGGGTACAATTTCTTATCAAGTTTTAAAGTTATAAATTCAATATTGGTTAGAGAGTGGAAAAATGGGTCTTTACAAATATTGCTGATATAAATAAATCAGTATAATCTTATTGGGGGGCAATAATTAAATATTTGATTTTAGCAAAAATTGTCCCAAGGAAATAATAGTGAATAAAAAGTTTTGTCTATATGAATTTTCTAAGTACTAACTTATGAAAGAGAAGTACTTGCACATTCTAAGATAAGGGATTAGTGAATAAATTATTGTTCATCCAGGTTAAGAATACTATGTATTTAATGATCATCCACAAATATATAATGACATATAAAAATATCCAGGATAAATCACTGAGTAGAAAAGTTTGCAAAACAGGACATAAAGTATGACACAAATTACCTTAAAAGTATTAAACACTTAGAAAAATGGACTAGAAGGATACGTCAAAATATAAGCGATCATCTGCATTTCTTGGCTCCTAGTCTCTTCCTGAGTCTTCAGATCACATGATTGCAATCTCTACTTCCGCCCTCACAACTACTTTCATGACTCTGAACCCCTGCCCTGCTTCCCATTTGCAAGGACTCCTGTGATTACGTGGGATGTGCCTGCATAATACAAGATAATCTTCCCTTCTCAAAAATCCTTAATTTAATCACATCGGCAAAGTTCCTTCTGCCATGTAAGGAATACAAAGATTCTAGGGATTAGGACATTAAAATCTTCGGGAGCCACTGTTCTATCATAATTGGGCTTCTTCATGTTCCTTGAACTCATAAAAGTCCTGGATCTCCTGGTCTCAGATGCTGGCATGTTAGAACGGCCAGCTCCATTCTGTTCTCCAAAGCTTAACTCAAAAGGCCTTCTGCTCAGGGCTTCTGTCTTGGTCCTTCCAGCACAAGTACATCACCCCTCCCCTTAACTCACATCCTAACTATTTTATTTATATTTTCTGCAGCACTTAGCATTACCTGAAATTATCTAAGTGGCTTTCTGGGATCCTGCCAATCCAGTGTATAGTACTGCACACAACCATTCTGGCACATAGTCAGCCATCAATAACATTCTGTATTGAATGAATAAATGAAGTGAAATGAGCTTGTTCAAGTTAGGGCAGGTGGAAAGTAGATCTAGACACTGCCACTGGAATGTCACCAGGCTACTTTAGGCTTGCCAGACAAAAATTGCTCACAAGTGAGCAGAGATAAGAAGAAAATCAGAACTTGATACTTAATCTCAAAAACAGAGAATGGTCCAAGAACAGATTGGCCAAGTCAGATGTCACTGAGAGGTCAAGTAAGAGCTTTACAAATTAATAATGTTTGTTGTTTGTAAGCTTGTTATTGCTCAAATTATTAGTTAAGCAAGAATTAACTAGTTAATTAATTAATTAGTGGCTGTTAATGAAAGTCAAGTGTAAGTACGTAATGAAGGTCTCTAAGTTAGAAAATCATCCATTACACCATTTTAGACACGCTTTCTTTGTGGTTTTGCTGTCTGCAATTTCCATTACCCAACACAGTCTGAAAATGTTAAAATGAATACTACCGAAATGAACATTCATGACTTTTAAGTCGTGTACAGTTCTGAGTAGTGTGATGAGATGTCATTATTATCTCATCCTGCCCTAGGCACAAACCACCTGCTTCTCTGTACACCCACGCTGTGTGTGCTGCCCACTTCCAGCCCCAGGTTGACTGTCCTGGCACCTCAGTGCCAGTGACTAAGTGACCCTTCTGTATTGGTCTACAGCTACATGTTCCCACACCTACATGTCCCCATGCCTATACCTCATTTGCGGTACTCCATCTTAGCATGCAGCACCAAGGCATCTTGCCAGAAGGGAGCATATGATAAGATGTTCCAAGATTAAGAGACCACATTCCCATACGTCCCGTTATAGTATGTCACTATAATTGTTGTTCTATTTTATAATTTGTTATTTTTGTTAATTTCTCACTGTGTCTATTTTATAAATTAAACTTCATCACAGTATGTGTATATAGGAAACATGTATATACACATATATTATATGAGAAGTCAGGTACTACCCATGGTTTGAGGCGTCCACAGGTTTTGGAATATATCCCCTTAAAGATCAGGGGTGGGGACCACCATATTCATTAGTACTTGACAAAATCCAAACCACCTTAAGTGAATATGTTCTTTTGATGACATACATGAGAACAAACATATCTATACTGTAAACTACACAATGTGTAGGTGTACAGGGTGAAGTAAGAATCTGCACACACACCCCATGCTCACTCCTGGAGGTGCTGCTACAGTCCTTCCAAACGTCCACTCTGGGGACTTAAGCCCTCATGTGTGTTATCACTCATATACACTTTTAACAAAAGGGGATCATCATTTTTATGATCTTTTTTTAATGTCTCAAATTCCTAATAGCTTCTTTTTTCCTAATAGTTTTTCTTTTAGGCTACAATTCTGGACATACTCTGGAGGATATCAGTTATCCCTGTGTTGCTATTTACCAATTTCCTAAGGTATTAAAATTTCCCCGTGCAACCCCTAACCAATTTGGGGGTGTGTGGGGAGTATGTTTTTCCTTACACACCAACTTTTCATTGTGTGTTCACCCCAGCTTTAAGAGCCTCTGCCTGTCTGCTTTCCTGTTCATTTCACCCTTGGCTGTTTTGGAGGTTGTACAAAGGAGCAGGTTATGCTATCTGAGGTGGGCACTGAGTTTCATCTTGAGCTGCGGGGACCCCAGCTCCCTGGCTCCAGCTTCTGCACTCACTGCTTTAGCCTGAGGTTATAGATGCCTCTGTGAATGCTGCTCATACAAGGCCAGCTGGCTAGAGGGGTTTGCTGTAGACCAGTTGGCCTACATGTTCAGAGGAGCTGTCAGTGGACCTCCTACATCAGAACACATGGGAATTCACCAAAGTGTGATTGCTTGGAGATGCTCTAGGCCCAAATGTGAAATCGGAGCATCTCTGGAAATGAAATCTGACTCTGGGCTTGAGTGGACGAGGTCACACTGTAGTACAGGGTTTTAACAAGCTCCCCAGGATTTGTCCACAGATGGGAGTCAGACAACCACTACCCAAGATTCACCAGGTTCCACTTTCTGGTCTTAAACTGATTCCGAGAAAGGTCCTGCCTGTCACATGTCCACTGCCACCACTCACAAGTGGCTTTCCTCTCCATTACTCCTCCACAGAGTCGACCCTTCCTATGCATCATCTCCCAGGAACTCCTGAAAATCTTTCACCATCTAGGGCAGTCCTTCTTCAATATCTACATAAAAATAATAAAGACACACTTCATATCTACCTATACTTAAAAGCTATAAAAATGAATTTCAGTCTTCACATTTTTCATTATTTCAGGGAGGTCTCCCCTTAATTGATTAAATATTATGATTCCTAGAAATAAAGCTTGTAGAAAGCCTTGCCATCAACGTGGCAGAGCCCTGTTCATGCTCTGCCTCAGAGCTGAAACGCGGCGGCTTGGCCCTCACTGCGGCTTTCTCCCTGGCCCCGGGATCAAACCTGCTTTTTCTCTCAGGATGAGCCTGCCAGACGTGAGCTCACTTTGGTTGTCCTGCTCCCCTTACCAGTGACTTGTTTAGGAGAGGGTGCGTAAAGGGTTTTAGCCAAGGGGGTGTAGGGAGAGGTCTAATTGGTGGCTTCCGGGTAATTTTTCTCCTTGCTTCTAAGGACATACCAGAAAAGAAGGCCGGTCCTGCCTCTGGTGGCCTTGTATGTACATGGCACCTGGAATTGCAGCCACCTGCAGATCACAAGGGAGCTAGCTAGCTTTGGGTCGAAGCCAATGCTCAAGGCAGCAGGATGGAGACAAGAGAGAAAATCAAGATCCTTGGAGACACTGCTGAGCCTCTGGATCAACTAACTACTTGGAGCCCAAAGCATCCTAATTGATAAGAATCTCTGATTCCAAATACACAACAATGTTTTTATAACCTATAGAAAATATTTTCTTAAAAATATCAAAGGGAAAAATAAAAACCAATTTCATCCATGTGTAAACTGCTTCTTCGTCTTATATCAAAATCTATAAAATGAATATCCAAATATTTAAACAAGAGAATTATCTAAGTTGAATAGGTAAAAATCATTCCTACTTCCAGTCCTCTATAAAAGATGAGGATAAAAATTAAAGGAAACAGATGCCACAGCATTTTCTAATTTCTAGAAGTCCAAAGAGGTTTGAGTATGCACAGTAACTTTCCAACTTATTAACAAGCTCTACCAATTTTGAGTGAATTATTTTTTACTTAAAAATCAATCATTTAAAAAATGGTCAAGCCACAAATTTGCCTCCAATCTGTAAATAAAAGAGCACTAGTTGACTATGGGGAACCCCCTGGCTTCTGAACACCCCAAGACTTGAAGAGTCCCAGGCACTGCTCCCAATTGCCCATCCTCCCCAACTGAATCCTCGTGGTGAAAGTGAACAGTGTAGATGGACAAGCTGGAGGCAGGCAGCACTGAAAAGGTCTCTAGGACAGGAGGCATTTTAAGTTGCCTTTCATAGTTCACATTTTCTGAAAATGGGGGCTCTGTCCAATTTCCCATTGCAAGAAGACCTTTTGTGAGTAGGAATCACTGGTTTTATAACCAACACAGTTCAGCAGTTTTGCAACTGTACGGGATCGCCTGTAGGTAATTAGCCTGCTGGGCTTGGTGAGGGTGTGTACTTCTCCCACAACTTCAGTCTACCTTGACCCCCATCATTTCTCAGTACTCATGTCACAAATTATGCTTACAATATAATTAACAAAACTACCACAGGAATGTGTTAATTGTAAATGGGATGGCTCCTTGTATATAAAAAGAAATCTGTGCAAACTTCCTCTCCATGCAACAACCATAAGCTGTAGCCCTTCTCTTCGGTAGGCTTCTCTCTGTTTAGCTTCTCTCCTAACTTCCAAGACTCTACCAGCTGAGTCTTGGGGTGCCCACGGATTCCCTTTTAGCTTAGGCCAGTGCTAGTAATCTCCCTGCTTCTGAACTGTGCTCTTTTCACTTCTTGAGCTCCAGAAAGCAAATGTCCCATGGTAGCTGTGGCCTGATGAAGCTGCTTTCCCAGAGCCACAGCTTGGCCAAAGCCCTCCCTTCTGCTTTCAGAGGGAGGAAAACAAGGATTTTTCTTTTCTTTTTTCTTTTACAACCACCATCCAGTTTGTCATGTTTCTTATCTCCCAGAAGCTGACTACCTGGGCCCAGGTGGGGTGTCCCCAAGGACTCCTGTCCATCACGGCTTCACCCCAGCCACCCTACACAGACAGCCAGCTGAACTGCTGGGCTTGCTGGACTATTAACCTCCATGTTACACAGCATGAATATTTATTTTTCTTGGCTTTCAATAACCACACTATTTTGCTACAAATAATCCAGGTATGCATTAATTTGATGGAGCATTTTGGGGATTTGTTCCTCCTTACAGTGTCCAGTACTTTGTTAAACACATGGTTCTTAGGAGTAGCCCATGGTCAACACAAACATTTGGTTGCTAAGCATTCTAAATATTTGTATTTCTTATGAGGTTCATCCCTCTAAATTACAGGAACTGAAAACCAGAGCTAGCAGATTATATATAACAAAGTAAAAGAATTTACTTACATTTCAAAGATTACTTACATTCTATTTTTAGTTTTATAATTATAGATATGCTATATTTAGACAACAAAGTAACTTTCAAAATTTCTTAAAAGAATTAATTGTTAAAAGTAGTAGTGCTCTGGATATTTTACAAGGTCATTTTTATCATTTGTTGTCTAATATTTTATTTTGCATTTATATAAATACACCAGCATTTCCAAGCTGCTCAGCTTTCTTTTTGAAGCTACCATGTTACAAAACAACTCCAGTACTACTTCTTATGGATAGACAGTATAAAAATAAAGAAAAAAGTTCAGCGACTGTTTCACATTGTTTGCCTCTGAACAACCAGGGAAAACATTAATATATTGCTAGGTAAATTTCAATACTTGATCTTAGCCAAAAGGTCACAAAACAGCTGATAATTTTCTTAGTGAAGAAAATAAACCCTTTCTGTTTTAAAAAATACTTACAGGTCCTTCAATACATACAATCTAGACCAGCAAGACAGCAAAGGAAAGCAGCAACGCACTATTATCCACACAGCTGAGGGGCTGCCCGGGGAGCAGAGCACACCCCGGGTCTTTCTAAATTCTTCATTTTTGTGGCACATGTACAGAGCACTGGAGTCTTGCACTCTGTTTAATAGTTAACAGCTTACGCGAGCATTTCTTTACAGTTGTCCAGCTCCGTCACTGTCCTCTGAAGTCTTAACCCAAGGGCCTCTACTTGACACTGTAAATCTGAAATGAAACAATGTATTTCTCTCATTAGCACATAGAAAGTGTCCAAAATTTTTTTAAACTATTTTTAGACATTGATGGACCTTTATTTTACTCATTTATTTATACATGGTGCTAAGAATCGAACTCAGTGCCTCATACATGTCAGGCAAGCACTCTACCACTGAGCCACAGCCCTAGTCCATGTCCAGATATTTTTGTAGAGTAAATCATATTCCTTAAAAGTTGCCTCTCAGTTCCAAAAGGATAACACAGTGTTTAGTTCACTTAGCCTGTGTGACCGCTGACAGTCTGGCTGTCCCCACTAATACCCACAGAAATAACAGATCTTGGTGGAACCTGATTTGTTGGCCTATTCTGCCCCCATCAGCAAGCTGATCTGAAAACAGCCAATGGGGTGAACTTTGCTAATGTCCCTAAAGGTCACATATGTAGCTGACACATGGATTTCTGACCTGTGGCTCGTTTCTGATACACTTGATGGCCTGAGTGCTCTCGTGATTCAGAACCAAGAGGCACTGCTGAGTTCTCCTGGCAGGGCTCAAGCAGACAAGTCGTGCACCAGACTCATGGTCAAGAACTTGTTAGGTCAGGGTAACATCTAACAGGCATTTTTTGTGACTTTCAAAGCTGAGAGAATACAGCAGGAAATTGGCCTCCTGAGTCGTGGAATGGGGAATTTAAGCAGTATTTGAAGATTATTGAAGAATCTTGTGTCTTAAGCGTGTAGATGCAGAACTAAAACCAAAGCAGAAAGAACTGGCTTGACATGTCTAAGTCCTGTCATCAGACCATGTGTGACAACTGTGATCTGAACCCAGCCTGTGAGAGTCCTTTTTGGGAATAAAGTAGAAAACAAACATACATAGCTGGACCAACTGGTTTCTACAGAAAAAAAGTAATTCAAAACACTGGAATTATAAATTTATGTTTCATTTGCTCAACTAATATATTGTTTAATAACTTTTTTTTGTACTTGTGATTGAACTCAGGGAGTTCTACCACTGAGCTATTCCCAGTCCTTTTTATTTTTTGAGACAGGGCCTTGTTAAGTTGCTAAGGTTGGTCTTGAACTTAAGATCCTCCTTCCTTGGCCTCCTAAGTCACTGGGATTACAGGTGTGCATCACTGCACCCTCAATATTTTTTTATACACACCCCCCCACACACACAATTAAATATTTTTTAACGTTTTTCTTTAGTCATTGATAGATATTTTATTTATTTATTTTTATGTGGTGCTGAGAATTAAACCCAGTGCCTCACACATGCTAGGCAAGGGCTCTACCACTTAGTTACAACCCTAGCCCTCAATAATATATTTTTAACGGTAAACATTAAAATCTTTGTGTGGTCATAAAAATATATAAAACTTCTATCTATATAAATCTTCAACCTGCCTTTTAATCTTTGTTTTAAGGAACAAAGAGCCAGTTCCTTAAATCAGAAAACAAATTCATCCCAAACAAATGTCTTACTTGGAATTTCCCAGACATTTGTATAAATCTTAAGTTTCATCCAGTACTTTCACATTTTTATTTTTAACTAATTACTTAGTTGAAAAATAAAAATAATTTGCATTTATCATGTAGAAAATGATGTTTTGAAATATGTACACATTGTGTCTAAACTGAATCAATTAATGTATGCATTACCCCAATACTTATCATTTCTCTTGTGGTGAGAACACTTCTTAAGATTTCCAAGAATTCAACATATTGTTATTCATCATTGGTACCACAATAGAGCTCTTGAATTTATTCCACCTAACTGAAATTCCGTATCCTTTGGTCAACATTTTCTCATAAACATTATTTAATTGTATCCCTTATACTGCCCTGTAGGTGCTAATATCCCCATCCTGAGTCCCATGCCTCAGGGACTCAGGATTCATGTGGATGAATGAGCTGCATCAACAGACTGAAGATGTTCAGCTCTGCTGCAGGATCCTGGCAGGACAGCCCCTCAAAATGAGACGCAATTATGGGCTTGAGTGAGATCTATCTGTAGGGCACACATCTCATCATTTACTAAGTGATATCTTTATATGGGAGAAAAAAGTAACATACAGAAAACTTATTTTTGAGTTAAACCTTTCAAAAACGGCATTTCGTGAATGTGCTATTAGGTGCTGACTTGCTCTTCAGCTCATGCAGGGCTTGGAGAGATTCAGATTTCGACCAACCATACTCTTGAGGAAAGCGGGGAGAAGTGGGTGTTTATCCCCATGTGCTGGTCCCTGCACTGAGCATGGTGCTCTCCCCTGAATGATTTTCATGCATGGTCACAACTACTGTGAAGAACAAGTGCACATTTTGTTTTACAGATGAGGATTCTAAGGATCAAATTAATCAGCTTATTAAAGTCCATGTGGCTGGTCAGAATGTCAGCCTGTGATTCACACTTCGGTCTAGTGGAACCCAAGTCCGTATCTCTCTAATGATTCAACCACTCCTGGCTATAAAACCTGCAGGGCTAGCATATAATTGTCCATGAAAAGTGAGATCAGAGTGGCTACAGATCTGTTATCAAATTCCCAGAATCTTTAAAATGGTATCCATAAGACAAATGAGAAGTATTATCTCACATAAAATATGTAGTAAACTGGTAGAATTTCCCACTTCAAGGGTTAGTTTTGAAAGTTTAGAAATTAATGTTGTCTGAATAATAAAACTATTAAAACAAAGGCGGTGTCACCGGGCTGATTTACGGCACTGACATCAGAGAACACAACTATGCCATCCTATAAATGTCAGGACACATCCTAAACCAGATGAAGCAGGGCTCAGAGCCCATATGATATTATTTCTGAAGGTAGCTATAGTTAAAAGAAAAAAAAAGAAAGAAACTACAAGGAATTGGTGTTTGGCATGTGAATTTTCTGCAATTAATTCTCAATTACCTGAGAATTGTTGGACTGTAAGAATGGCAGCTAGATGGTAAGAATGGCAGCTAACTGAAGCTCATTTTTACAGCATTGAGAAGTATCCTGAGGCTCACATTTAAAAAGGATTGTGCATCACCATTACAGAACTGACTACACCACCCTGGCTCAAGAGGAAGAGAACAGCTACTGCACTTCCATTATAATTCTGCCTGCCTACCTGCCCAAGCTCCCTTTCTCCCCTCCAGTTCTAAACAAACACAGATGCTTAGTCTTTAATTTATAGAACCCAATGAGTAGAGAGCCAATTCCTTCAAGATTATTTGGCATATATTTTACAGCAACTTTGAGTAAAAATTGGAAAAGTAAAATACATGTTTCATTTTTTAAAAACAAGAACCTCTGAAGGCTGTCAAGTGAAGTCGACAAAAACAGAAAACACAAGTAATATCAACAAAGAAAACATTTTATATAAGCAGAGACCATGACAAACATTCATACAAATAGTACATAATGTAGATAGGTACCCAGTGTATAATTAGGAGTTAATATATTTTCATGGCTCTTTTTTAAACTTTTAGATATATTTTTTGTAATCAAGAATTGCTAAGAGTTATTTTTTTAAAAAAGATAGGACATATCTTTCCTGTTCTGAATGGGACACAAGTATCCTGTGGGTTTACCATAGGTTCTGGCAGACTTGCAGGGTCCTCTCGTTTTCAGAAGCAGAGTGCCCCATTCCTGTCCTTAATAATGAAGGAATACAGTTAGGATACACAGCAAAAGAACGAAGCATCAGCTCAGAACAGCTCGGTTCCTGAGGAAGAGGCTGCAGTCCTCTGTGGTGAGACAGTTCACCTGCAGTTTTCTGTATTCAGCATGACTTGGATTGCAAAGGCCCTAATGCCCACAGAAAGGAAGGAAGCACTGGCTTCCAACACCCTGCAGCCATAAGGCAGAGCCCAGAGAGACAACCCAAAATTCACAGCAGTGTGTTCTGCCAGGATGTGACTGGGTTCTTCACAGATAGTAAAGCAGCAGCAAATGGCTTTAAATGAACAAAGCAAAAAAAGAGCTCTTGGGCTCTCTTCACACGAAGCCAGCTGCCTGCCGGATGGCATTCCACAAGCATCTGATTTGAGGCAATTAGTCATTTAAGAGAACCCTGGTATTCCAAAAGGTTTCTAGAACCTACAAATATAAAAGGTACTCATAGTTAACTATTTTATAGGATGATATAAAACCTTGTCATGTGGAGGGCATATTAAGTTGATATAATGTTTGAGAAGACAATAAATAAAACCTTTATAGCAGAAAGCTATTCAAGCTTAAAACTTCCTTATAAACACTGAAAATTCAAAACTGGTGCAAAGTGCTGTTTGGAGGAAAATGATTCAAGACTCAAGCAGCAAAATGGAAAAGCAACCAGCACCCAGAGGTCCACAGGAAACTCTTTTAAATAAGAAACTGAAGCTGCTTTTCTTTTAAGTACACTCTAGCACACTGGAACAGGACAGTTCAGAGGGCTGTGCACAGGCTCTAAAGCCAGATTGCCTCATGTCCAATCCTGGCTCCTCTTCCTGCCACTTGTGTGATTTCAGCATTTCAGTTCCCCTGCCTGGAAGGCGGTTACTGGTGCCCAAGACTCTCCTGTGGACTAAGTGGCCTCACATACAAGAGGAGGGCAGCAGCCACAGCATGCTGGGAGCTCAGGGTGCCTGTAGCTACCTTGGCTGGTGTAAAGCCTCTTTCCCTTCCCTGGGGCACATCACTTCTCACCTTGTGGACCCTGTTCTTGCACACAGCCCTGGGGTCAACAGCTGTCATCTTTGGGGAAGAGTAAAAATGGGCATTTTACCTATATTTTCCTGTAACAATCTATAAAGTCACTGTGTTAGTTATCTTTTCATCCCTGCCACCAAAATACCTGACAAGAACAACTTAGAGGAGAAGTTTATTTTGGCTCATGGTTTCAGAGGTCTCAGTCCAGATCAGGCACATTCTGGAAGTGACATGGCTGAGGAAAGCTGCTCAGCTTACAGTAGCCAGGATGCAGAGAGAAGGAGCCAGAGAAAGTCAGATTCCCAAGGGCATGCCCCCAGTGACCTGCTCCCTCT